AATAATACTATACATAATTCAATTTATTTCTCATTTAAATTTATGGATGCATGCAGGCCGGGCGGGTACCACAGTGAGCATTGGCGGTCACCAGAGCTGCGGCCAAGACAATTACCTTTACTAGCTGTGTAGCAGCTGACTCATAAGTGGCATAAAGAAAGCCTTTGTTTTATCTTAATTTAACGTGACACTGAGCCCTATACTAAAAACACGCTTGTGGGCATTTATCAGGCCTGATAAATGTTTTAATGGCGGTTGGGGATCTCTATTTATATCTGTAGTTTGACTACACAAAGCACTTTTGCAGTGGGGATTGCAATGGTAAGAAAATGCAATTGTCATGTTAATCATAGTATAGATATATTGTCATGAAAATAATTCTATGCATAATGTGGAGCACTTAAGATATAAGTCAGATTACAGTAAACATAGAGACAGCCGTGCATGACCAGTGGCTTTACCTTGGTGTAACCTGTCTGCTTAGGATTCGCGTTTTAGGTTGTAAGGAGAAAAAGAATGTCTCCATTTTTTTATTTTTATTTGCATTTTGTTGGTTTTCAATTTTAGGGACCTCAGGCACAATAGGCAGAAACACAATTCTGCCTTTTGAAGCATAGTGTTCTTTCTTTTTCCAACCTATGAATGAAGCTCTATTATTAGGCCATTTCACTTTCTGGCATTTTTGAGTCATATGTAAGAAGCCAAGGTTCTGGGGCATAAAAAAATTATACCTGCATTCAGAGAGAAGCTTACTGGCAGTTAATTTTACTTAGTTTACTATGCAATGTGCATAATTTCAGGTCAATTAGTGGCTTTAGAACAATATAAATTTACTGTAGCTACTTGAAGTACATTTAGGAGCATTTCAAATTTGGCGTGATACTTGCGCCCAAGTGAAGTATTTGTTTTTGTTGGAATTTTCTGCCAGTTACTGGCAGAAAGTTCCAGAGTAAAACTGGATTGATTTTAATATGCCCCTGTGCATTCAGCCTTATTATTACTGTTTAATTATTGTTTTTCTCCATTTACAGTGAAATAAAACAAGAATTGCATATAGTCATAGCATTACTACATCTCTTCTGGTTTAAGATTTATCTAGCCCCAAGAACAATAATGCATTATATTGTAATTACCAAATCCTTGGATGTTTTTTAAGTTGGCTGCATTCATTTATTTTCTTTTTTTTTTTACTTTTTTACTTTTATTTTCGCCTTGTGATCCTGCATTTAAACACTTCCTGTCCTCGGGTGACACAAACTTAATCCCTTTAATGTATCCTATGGAGGAGTAGTACAGTTACCCTAGGGCAGGTATGGGTTTATATGATTACAGTAACACCCTCCTTTTACTCATCTTATCATACATACAGAACACCTCCCTACTACTCATCAATCCAACTTCACGAATATAGGGGGAGGTTTTTTATGTAGTCTACAGAGAAATCTGGGTGTGGGGGTTTTATGGGGGCCCTTGACCGGTACCACATGGGGTGTCTCACCTCCCTCTCCAGACTCTCCCAGTGCACGGGCTTTGCTAATGCATGGGGACAAGGCCACAGGCATGTTCATTGTGGATTCAAGATTAAGGCGAACCCCTTTGTACTTAGAAGCAAGCCGTACACCCCCATATATTGCACCATACCCTGTGGTTTTGCTTCACATGCCACACTGGTTCATATACATACACCTGTATGGAATGATATCATTTTGAAGTGGACACACGGAGCAAAACGTCCTGTTTTTCCACCAGTCCAGCTCCCCTATCAGCTCACCACCCTGTGGTAGCATATGATTCTGCCAGGGTTTTGTATGAACCCACTTGCGTGCACAACTTACTTAACTCCTTTCCATACCTGCGGGTAGGTCTCTGGCAACTTTCTCTTTTGCTGGTTGCCCAGCAAAACAGGAGTCACATAATGACTTGTCCTCAGGGACCTGAGTTTTGCACACCCCAGCAGGTTTTCCTTACGGAGCAGCTAGAGTGTCGCTCAACTTGATACCTGGAAGAGGAACACAAATTTCTCCTAGGACACCTGGAGCTGGAAGGAAACACACGTGGTGTCCAGATTTGGAGGAAGAGTAATGGCGTCAAGACCATGGAAGCACTTCTATCATCATGTTGTCATATAATGATGATCTATCAAAACCTAGAAGGGCTGAAAAACATATAGAACAGGGAATAGTTAAAAGCCATAGAGATGCCCAGCAGTGGGGGATCAAGAGGATAAATCCACCTGTCCATACCTACTGTGCAAGGGCTGGCCACAAGGAGGCAGTGACACATCCTTACTGGGTCAGCTGTTAAGGCAACCAAGCTGTAAAAAAATATGACATGCCAAAGAGCAGGAATCCAACAGACCACCCGGGTTGCAGGAGGGAGCAAGTACTGACCTTCCACAATGGACCACATCACTTGGGGAAGCTGCTGCATCAGCCCACAGAGATTCCCATTGAAAACAGCTCTGACAGCTGTTTAAATCTGCCACTAGTAATGACGTCACTGTCACCATACCGCTCATCATGGGCCAGCACCCGGTGTCTCCCTGTGCCGCTGCATGCATGCGCAAATGCTGCCATCTTGCTGTACTGCGTACATGCAAAACCAGGCCTCACTGTACACCGGGAGGACTGCGGACCAGGAAGTGGTGGCCTGGAGTGCAGCACTGTGCTCCAGCCACCATGAAAGTCCATAAACTACAGCAAGGAACAAGAAAGAAAGGAGAAAGAACATACAAAAGGAGCAGACTGCTGCCATAAAGAAGCTAGGGAATTCCAGAGCTTACCAACCCACGGCTCTCCCATGACCACCTGCATAGAAGACCACCTCATCCGTTCAGGGCGCTACATGGCCACCCTCTGCTAGCAGGCTATCCAGCCCAATTTGCTGCTTGCTCACCATGACAGACCCCAGCTCTTCAAGGCATTGTCTCTGCTCACCCTTTTGCACCCTACCATTAGCTGGGGAACACTGGAAACTGATGAGGGAAGCATCTGCACAACTTCACCAGACACCACATCCATCCGCCCCATCCCTTACCCTTCCATTAACTGGGGACCCCTGGAACCAGCAAGCGGGTGTCACCTCAAATCTCCCTGAAAGGCTTGCCAGGCCTTGGTCACGGAAGCTGACATCTTATATAAGAGAGAATAAGGTAAGACTTGCAACTCACTAGTTCCATAGGAGGAGAACAAAAAGGGAACATAGCCTCTAGCGTGGCAGCAAAGATTTATGGGAGTGGATCCTATAGGAGATGAGATGCCGGGGCTAATCCATAGGTATGCTGCCATGGAGTCTGTCAGAAAAAAAAATTAACCGACTTGGCCACAAAACTGCAAACTGCACAGTAAACACTGAATCAAAGCAAATCCAAGTTAAACGTAATATTCTAATATAATAATAATAACTAGAGATGAGCGAAGAAATGAAAAATTCGATTCGACTGATTCGGCGAATTCGTGGACAATATTTGATTTCGAGTCGAATAAATTCGCTGTGAATTTAACTTAAAAAAGGGTTGTTTCTAGGCTTCAGAGAGACTTAATATTAGTGCAGAACACTGTACCTTTAATTTAAATGCCCTTGGAGTCTGCTGGGGAAGAAGAAATAATACTGTCACTCAGTATGACATGCAGATGAGTGCCGTCGATCTTAGAATCACCGCACACTTCACTCATTTGGCCAGTCACGGGGCCAAAACCAGTGTTTGGAGCCACAGTGTGGCGGTGGAGGCAGCAGCAATGGGAGGCCATACAGCAACCTATGACAAAATGGAAACCAGCAGGAGTGTGAGGAGACCTGAAAGTGGCACATGGCAGAGTGGGAGCAATAAGAGGAGGCAGGTACAGGGACCCAGGTCACACTGTGGGGACCAGCATCAGCGTGAACAGGCGGTACGGGGGCCCATGGCCGATTTGACCTCGTTCATCCCATAGTCCTGCCGACTCACGAATAGCGTGGCCTCCTCAAAGGGCCTGAGCAAGCGCAGGTGTCACGCATGAGCTGACAATGGCTGACATCTAAGTTACACAGGGAGTACCTTTATCCGCTTTTAACATCAGGAAATCTGTGATGGCCTTTCGCTGTTCGTAAAGGCGGTCTCTAACATATGTAGTGTTGAATTCCACCTTGTTGCAACGTCACAGCATGAGGAGTCGGTACGGGGGCCCATGGCAGATTACGTGGCCTGGCAGCAGCAATGGGAGGCCCGTAATCTGCCAGCACCCTATGTCAAAAAATTGAACACACCAGCAGTGTGAGGAGACCTCAAAGTGGCACATGGCAGAGTGGGAGCAATGGGAGGCGGTACAGGGACCCAGGTCACACTGTGGGCTCAGCAGCAGCGTGACCAGGCGGTACGGGGGCCCATGGCCGATTTGGGGCCTGGTGGCACCTATGGGAAGGCCTGTAATCTGCCAGCAACCAATGACAAAAAAATGGACAACCGCAGGAGTGTGAGGAGATTTCAAAGTGGCACATGGCAGAGTGGAAGCAATGGGGGAGGCCGTACAGGGACCCAGGTCACGCTGTGGCTCAGCAGCAGCAGGGTGACCAGGCGGTACGGGGGCCCATGGCCGATTTGGGGCCTGGCGGCACCTATGGGAGGCCTGTAATCTGCCAGCACCCTATGACAAAATGGAACCCTGGGCTGGGGCAGGGCAGAAACCGCCGTATCTTTATCACGGTTTTCCCAGGCCACCGAATGGCGACAGCTGCATATGCTGACGCAACGCTGTAGTCCCAACATGGGCCTACTGGCCACGCTTGACTTTCTGGCCACATAGTCGACATACGGCTACGTTTACTTCCTCGGGCGGCTTGACGAAAAATTGCCACACCGCAGAGTAGGAAACTTTGCCTCCGCTACTCCTCACTGGCTGACTGCTACTTCCTCCGTGCACACCGGCACCACTACTGGCCGTGGTGGTAGGCTGCAGTGGAGCTGGTGCTCTACTCCGTGGCCGTTTGCCTCCACTGACACTGCTGCGACCCTGCTGCCTCCTGGCAGCAGCAATGGGAGGCCGTACAGGGACCCATGAGAGACTCTGGACTTGGCAGCAGCATGAGGAGGTGGTATATAGGGGCCCATGGCAGATTAGGGGCCTGGCAGCAGCTATAGGAGGCCCGTAATCTGCCAGCACCCTATGTCAAAAAATTCAACACACACCAGCAGTGTGAGGAGACCTGAAAGTGGCACATGGCAGAGTGTGGCGATGGAGACAGCAGCAATGGGAGGCCGTACAGGGACCCATGAGAGACTCTGGACCTGGCAGCAGCATGAGGAGGCGGTATATAGGGGCCCATGGCAGATTAGGGGCCTGGCAGCAGCTATAGGAGGCCCGTAATCTGCCAGCACCCTATGTCAAAAAATTCAACACACACCAGCAGTGTGTGAGGAGACCTGAAAGTGGCACATGGCAGAGTGTGGCGATGGAGACAGCAGCAATGGGAGGCCGTACAGGGACCCATGAGAGACTCTGGACCTGGCAGCAGCATGAGGAGGCGGTATATATAGGGGCCCATGGCAGATTAGGGGCCTGGCAGCAGCTATGGGAGGGCCCGTAATCTGCCAGCACCCTATGTCAAAAAATTCAACACACCAGCAGTGTGAGGAGACCTGAAAGTGGCACATGGCAGAGTGTGGCGATGGAGACAGCAGCAATGGGAGGCCGTACAGGGACCCATGAGAGACTCTGGACCTGGCAGCAGCATGAGGAGGCGGGTATATAGGGGCCCATGGCAGATTAGGGGCCTGGCAGCAGCTATAGGAGGCCCGTAATCTGCCAGCACCCCTATGTCAAAAAATTCAACACACCAGCAGTGTGAGGAGACCTGAAAGTGGCACATGGCAGAGTGTGGCGATGGAGACAGCAGCAATGGGAGGCCGTACAGGGACCATGAGAGAGACTCTGGACCTGGCAGCAGCATGAGGAGGCGGGTATATAGGGGCCCATGGCAGATTAGGGGCCTGGCAGCAGCTATGGGAGGCCCGTAATCTGCCAGCACCCTATGTCAAAAAATTGGATCAAACACACCAGCAGTGTGTGAGGAGACCTGAAAGTGGCACATGGCAGAGTGTGGCGATGGAGACAGCAGCAGCAATGGGAGGCCGTACAGGGACCCATGAGAGACTCTGGACCTGGCAGCAGCAGCATGAGGAGGCGGTATATAGGGGCCCATGGCAGATTAGGGGCCTGGCAGCAGCTATGGGAGGCCCGTAATCTGCCAGCACCCTATGTCAAAAAATTGGAAACACACCAGCAGTGTGAGGAGACCTGAAAGTGGCACATGGCAGAGTGTGGCGATGGAGACTAGCAGCAATGGGAGGCCGTACAGGGACCCATGAGAGACTCTGGACCTGGCAGCAGCATGAGGAGGCGGTATATAGGGGCCCATGGCAGATTAGGGGCCTGGCAGCAGCTATAGGAGGCCCGTAATCTGCCAGCACCCTATGTCAAAAAATTCAACACACCAGTGTGTGAGGAGACCTGAAAGTGGCACATGGCAGAGTGTGGCGATGGAGACAGCAGCAATGGGAGGCCGTACAGGGACCCATGAGAGACTCTGGACCTGGCAGCAGCATGAGGAGGCGGTAAGGGGCCCATGGCAGATTAGGGGCCTGGGCAGCAGCTATGGGAGGCCCGTAATCTGCCAGCACCCTATGTCAAAAAATTCAACACACACCAGCAGTGTGTGAGGAGACCTGAAAGTGGCACATGGCAGAGTGTGGCGATGGAGACAGCAGCAATGGGAGGCCGTACAGGGACCCATGAGAGACTCTGGACTTGGCAGCAGCATGAGGAGGAGGCGGTATAGGGGCCCATGGCAGATTAGGGGCCTGGCAGCAGCTATAGGAGGCCCGTAATCTGCCAGCACCCTATGTCAAAAAATTCAACACACCAGCAGTGTGAGGAGACCTGAAAGTGGCACATGGCAGAGTGTGGCGATGGAGACAGCAGCAATGGGAGGCCGTACAGGGACCCATGACAGACTCTGGACTTGGCAGCAGCATGAGGAGGCGGTATATAGGGGCCCATGGCAGATTAGGGGCCTGGCAGCAGCTATGGGAGGCCCGTAATCTGCCAGCACCCTATGTCAAAAAATTCTACACACCAGCAGTGTGTGAGGAGACCTGAAAGTGGCACATGGCAGAGTGTGGCGATGGAGACAGCAGCAATGGGGGCCGTACAGGGACCCATGAGAGACTCTGGACTTGGCAGCAGCATGAGGAGGCGGTATATAGGGGCCCATGGCAGATTAGGGGCCTGGCAGCAGCTATGGGAGGCCCGTAATCTGCCAGCACCCTATGTCAAAAAATGGAAACACACCAGCAGTGTGTGAGGAGACCTGAAAGTGGCACATGTTTGAGGCATGATTCATGGCGGATTTAGTCAGTTGTGTCAGGAATGGTGGTTTGAAATCCAGACTAATCCACGCCTGATTCATTTTTCACAAACGTGAGTCTCTCCACACTTTGGGTGGACAGTCGTGTCCTCCGCGGAGTTACAATACCTCCTGCCGCACTAAACACGCGCTCCGATGCCACGCTACTGGCCGGGCATGACAGCCTTTCAAGGGCAAATTCAGCTAGTTGGGGCCAAAGGTCAAGTTTCGTTGCCCAGTAGTCAAGGGGATTGTCTACCTCGGTTGGCAGGGTGCTGTCCAAGTAGGCCCAAGCCTGTTGTTTGAGGTCCTGCTCCAGGTCCACCTGATGCTGCTGCTGCTGCTGCTGCGGCTGGTTAGTAGTTTCCTCACTGCGCTGGTGAAGAAAGCTACTCATCATCGACTGCAGACTGAGGCAAGCCGCTGCTGGTGGAGCTGCCACTGCTCCTACCACCCCACCCCTCCCCTGCTGCCATGGCAGCGGAACGCGAGCGCACAGGGCCCACAGTGTCTGAGGATGGACGTTGGCGCACAAAGGCAGAGACAAACTGACTACATAGGTGGTTTTTATAGTACAATTTTGGCCTTCCCTCTCAGCAGGTGTGAAAAAGGCCACCATTTTTGAACGGTTAGCGATTATTCGGGTCCAACAAGTCCTGCCGAATCGAGGGACAACGAAATAGCATGGCCTCCTCAAAGGGCCTGAGCAAGCGGCAGGTGTCACGCATGAGCTGCCAATGGCTGAATCGAAGTTACACAGGGGAGTACCTTTATCCGCTTGTAACATCAGGAAATCGGTTGATGGCCTTTCGCTGCTCGTAAAGGCGGTGCTAACATGTGTAGGGTTGAATTCCACCTTGTTGCATCAAACGTCGCAGATCAGGCGATGATGTGGAATTCCGTTCTGCCGCTGCAGCTCAAGGAGGGTGTGCTTTGCGGTGTAGGAATGGCTGAAATGCATGCAAAGTTTACGTGACATTTTAAGGATGTCTTGCAGTGGGATGGTGGATTTTAGGAACCGCTTGACAACCAGATTGAACACGTGAGCCATGCATGGCGCATGGCACAACCTTCCTTGACGCAGAGCAGACACCATGTTCTTTCCGTTGTCGGTCAACATGGTTCCGATTTTTCAGTTTGCGCGGGGGAGACAGCCATCTGTCGATTTCTCTGTTCATTACACTCAGAAGTTCCTCCCCTGTGTGACTACGTTCGCCAAGGCATACCAGGTGCAGAACAGCGTGACACCGTTGCGCCCTGCACATGTGATATGCCGGTCGGGTAATGGGACTTGGCAATCGGGGGGTGGAGGACTGGTGGCGGCTGAGGACACACGGCGGAAGAAGAGGTGGTAGAGGCGGACATCTTTGCCGGACCAAGGACGTGTGCAAACGTGGAGGCAAAAAGCGGCGTGACCTGTCCAAGTTGCTGGTGCGGCTGTGACGGCACCACGTTCACCCAGTGGGCCGTAAATGACATGTACTGTCCCTGACCGTAGTTACAGCTCCACAAGTCGGCGCTGCCGTGCACTTTGGCAGAGACCGACATGCTCAAAAGACTGGCCCACCATGTCTTCTACATGTGAATGCAGGGCTGGCACTGCCTTTTTTGGCGAAGAAATGACGGCTTGGCACTCTCCACCGCGCGGCGCGGCACAAGCCATCATTTCTCTGAAAGGTGCTGAGTCCACCACTTGGAAAGGGAGGGACTGCAGCACCAGCAACTTGGACAGGAGGACGTTCAGCTTTTGCACCGTCGGGTGCGTGCTCGCAAACTGTTGTCTCTTGGAAACGGATTCCAAGAAAGACTGCTGACGGAATCCGTGAAGAGGAGTAGCAGGAGAAGGGCATCTGAACGAGCGTGAGATGCCAACGAGCGACAACTCCCCTCAGCAGAGGTGTTGGAGCCTTGACTGGCTGATGGAGGGCGATTGACGTCTGGGGTGACAGGGAGTAAGTAACGGAGCGGGTGATGGAGCGGGGGGCTGGGGCGGGGCAGAACCGCCGTATCTTTATCACGGTTTTCCCAGGCCACCAAATGGCGATGCTGCATATGCTGCCGCAACGCTGTAGTCCCAACATGGGCCCCCTGGCCACGCTTGACTTTCTGGCCACATAGTCGACATACGGCTACGTTTACTTCCTCGGGCGGCTTGACG